TACCTTTGTGTTGTTGCGTTATTCCGACTTTTGTGGCAGCCCTGAAAAAGTTGACTCCATTCGTTTATTCGTTTATTAGTACCTCAAGGGTCCCGAGAAACATTACATGAGGGGTGGGCAAAAAAAAGACATAACAGATGAAACGAAAAAAATGACACAAAGTGGCAAAAACAATAACAAAATATAGAAAACAGCACTAGATTATAACTAGAAAGATGATATATGGCTTTTTACGGCGTTTTTAAATTGGTCGAACTAAGGTGACATGGCGATGTGGGCGGGAAGGTCGTTCCAGTCATGTGCTGTCTGAAGGAAAAATGACTTCTAGAATGTCTTTGTTTTTGCGCATACGGGATATACTGCGTTGGGGTGACAATGTCATGATGTCCGATGTGCAGGTCCGATGAATGCATGGCCTGGTGGTAAGGAATAAAAAAAACTGATGATACAAGCACAAGCCAGAAATTTTATGGCAAGAGGCAAGATGAGGAAGATTAGGCTGATGTTTGACTGCTGACACACTCATGGTACTTGAGTATTTTAGGATAATAAATCTGGAAACACAATTCTGAATAGATTCGAGCATAGTGGAAATTTTAGCTTGATGAAGATCAAAAATGACATTATCGTACTCCAGTTTAGGCCTGATGAGTGTTTTATAAGCTATTACTTTGGTAGCAGCAGGTGCCGAAACAAGGTTACGATGTAGGTATCCAAAAACTCGATTAGCTAAGCTAGTGATGCTAATGATGTGTAAAGTCCTTGTTCGATTATATGAGATATGAACACCTAGATAGTTGGTAATTTTGGTTGCGGCTACGAGGTTGTTGTGTAGAAAGTAAGTGTTAGCGATGTATGTCAGCCGTGCATGAGAACAAGATACTGCGTACAGACGGATGCGGCGCCCTGCGTACAAACGGATAGCGATGTAGCCTTTGCGACGATGAAACGTCATTAGGAAAGTGTTGTTAACATTTAGCGGCATTAACCAATTCTCACACCATTGCTGTATCGTGTTAAGATCTGACTGTAAAACGGAAGAATGTGAGGCATCATTTACAGGGTGATACAACACGCAATAATTGGTGAATAGTCAAATAGTAGAGGTGACGTTGCGTGGCCAGTTGCTCATGTATATTGAAAAGAGGAGGGGACCTAGTACAGTACCTTGTGGAACGCCCGAGTGAATGGGAGAAAGGGGAGAGTTCAAAGAGTTAACGACCACAAACTGTCGGCGATGGGTTAGAAATTCGCGAAGCCAGTTCAGCACCGAGGGGTCTAAGTTCAGGCATGAAAGTTTGAGCAGTAAGTGACGATAAGAAACATTGTCAAATGCTTTTTCGAAGTCCAGGAATATAGCATCAATGGGGATATTATTTTCAAGGTGAGAATGAATTAATTTCATGCAACAAAAGGGCTAGTTGGGTTTCACAATAATGACCGGGACGAAAACCATGCTGATTGGGATAAAAAAAGAAACTATTAGTAGACAAAAAACGCGCTAATTCAGAGTACACTATAATCTTCATTATTTCGCAATAGATACTGGCGATGAACATGAGAAGGCGATTGTTTGGAGACGACTGATTACCTTTCTTGAAGACGGGGACGACCTTCCCGATCCGCCAGTCCTCTGGAACTAAACCTAAATCTAATGATTGCTGAAATAATAGCGATAATATGATACTGATTTCATGTTTCGTGTTTTTGAGCACTTTGGTATTCATACCACAGGTTCCAGCTGCTGACGACATTTTTAAGTTGTCGAATATGCACAATGCCACTTGGACTAAAGGTAATACAATTCATGAGCGAATGCGCGTAGGGCGAATATGAAAGAAGCGTCTAAGTGGATTCACGGGTGAAAACCGAGCAAAACGTATTGTTTAGTACAATAGCGGCATCCTCTTTGGCAATGAGACAACCATCAGAATCGATTAGCGAAATACCTTCCGTTTCTTCGGGTTTGATAGTTCTCCAGAACTGTTTAGGATTGTTCTGCAGCAAAGAAGGCCTTGTAAAAGTGACTTTTGACATGCGTGATTGAAGTTAGATATTCTTTAGCTGCAGAGAAATGCTTAGCTCAAGCCGTCTTAGAGTTGGAACACTTAGCAGATCTGAACAACCTTTTTTCCTCACTGTTGATTTTTCTTTAGTTTACAGTTAAATCATTGAGACTGCGCTCGCTCTTTAACAATAATAGTGGGGATATATTTTGTGGTTAGACGCGACATATCATTCTTAAAGATTTACCAGTTAGTTTCAATGAAGCGTGATTGATAGTGATTTTCAAATTCATCACAAAAGATAACTAACTTATTAGTCATAGAAGCGTAGTCACCTTTGGATTCATAGGTGAAAGGTTTTTATAGTTTTCTTGGTTTTAAATATATAACTAGTCAAGGTGCCATGAACTACACAGTGGTCACTCAGTGGTGGGAGATAAGTTAATGAGGAACAGATGTCGGCATTTGTCGTAAAAAGCAAATCGAAAATGTTTGAAGAATGAGTTGAAATACGTGTTGGCTGAGTGACTAGATGAGATAGACCAAATATGAGACATGCGTTCAGGAAATCGCTTTCGATGCTATTTCTTGATAGCGTGACTGCTTCGTTAGACCAGTCGATCAAAGGAAAGTTGAAATCGCCGATGATAAAGACGGGAGAGATAGAATAGGCTTCCTTTATGGTTTGCAAGCATACATGGAATCTTACATTGAACGAGCTGACACTATTAGGTGGTCGATAACAGACAGCGACCAGCATACGCGGCAATGCAGCATTACAACATATCCATAAGAATTCTAGATTTGATGATACGTTCACCAACGCACAAAGCAAACTTTTGGTCTGTACTGATGATTAGAATTTGAGTTATGCAATAAGTTGAATTTGCAAAAGTGTGTAGAATATATAGTAATGAGTCAAGTTTCAAAAACTCCACTTAAGGCTCACTTATGAAACCATCCCTTTTCAGGGTAAATAAGACTCCTGTGAACGAGGCGATTGAAGTTTTCACGATTGTTTCAATAAGTAAAGCATGAACAAATTCCTGTAACATTCGCGAAACACTAGCCGTAAATGTCGTAGTCTTTATAAACGTGCTTTTTGTGAGAGGCAAAATAAATATTACCCACTTTTCCTGGTTTTAAAGCTCCGCAGCTGGCCGCAACAAGCAGCCCCCCAAACAGCGGCCGTTCCTATGCAGTGGTTGCCACAACTGGTGGCTATTTTGTAGTGTACAAGTATAAGGGGCGAAGCTCCTTAGGGTTTGGGTCGTTCGCTCCTCTGTAAAATCAGTAGGAGTAGTAGTAGTATATATAGTAGTAGAAGTCACTTCTAGTTAGCTTTGAAAATTGCTCATTAGATGACGCTGAGTGTGTATGTCCTTGGAAAGTGGTCATGGTTCCTGGTCTGACGTTCGGCAATGCGGTCTTGTGCATGAGATCAGAAGTTCAAGCAAGATTAGAAATTAAGCAACGTGGAAAAGGTAGGCTTGCCTTAGGAGCTCACGGGAATACACCAAATCAGGGAGTACAAAGTGATATGGGATGGACATCATTTGAGGGCAGGGAAGCCAGCAGCAAGACAAAATTTGAGAAGCGATTGAGAGAAATGTGGGAGGAGCGTTGGTCTAGGAAGGTATTCAGCTACTTGTACATGAAGGATGTCGATACAAAATGAAGGAAGCAAACCAGAAAATTGACTGGTAAATACTTGAAAAACAACAGGGGGCCAAACCTAAAAGAATTATCGGTTAAGAAGGAGAAGGAAGCTGAGAACAATATGTGAAGAATTGGCATGATTGAGAAATCCGCACTAGAGGTCTATCGAACTTTTAAGCAGGAAATTGCCAAGTAAAGGATCTATGATAATACTCGGGGTAGTTTTCTACTGTTTAAGGCCAGGACTGGAGTATTGCGAACCAAGACATATCGGGCCAAATACGAAGGGGTAGACACGGTATGCAGTGCGCGTGGAGAGGAAGAAGAAACTGCCGAACACTTGATAATGTTCTGTAAAGGGCTTTGCCCTATAGTTCAGGATGATGGCGCAGAGTTATTCAAAACAGTTGGGTTTAGGGACAGGGAGGACAAAATAGACTTTAAGCGCGTAGAATTAACAAGAAGAAGGTTATATGATTGGTGGCTAAAGTCAAGGCACGAGTGAAAATTAAACTTTCACTGCAAAGTACGAATCCTCTACCTCACTTTTTAAAGGAAAAAAAATAAATCTAGTTTTTGGTTCATTAAGTATTACAGCTTGGTGGCGCTAGCCACCACCCTATCTAAAGAGTACAGCCATATCCATCCATCCATACATCCTTGGAAATGATACCACTTGGTGGCGTTAGTGGTTTTTGTATAACTGACGAACGAACAGATGGATGGACACATGGACAGACAGACAGACAGACAGACAGACAGACAGACAGACAGACAGACAGACAGACAGACAGACAGACAGACAGACATGCAGGCAGGCAGGCAGGCAGGCAGGCAGGCAGGCAGGCAGGCAGGCAGGCAGACGATTTTGTGCAGTTGACGGACGGACCGGATAATAAAGCAACAATCGTAGTCAAGGAACACATCTTTTCTGCGCCAATGTTAAGTCACCTACCCTCTGTGAGGGTAGGTGACTCGACATTGAATAAATATCCAACGAACCCTCACAGAGGGTTCGTTGGAGATTTATTGCTCGAATAGCGGCTTCCAAGTTTAAGTCTTCACGCAATAACTAACTTTACGTTGATTATGCAGAGCTGTACGTTGTGTAACACCTGCATATAACTTTTCCTGTCAAAAATCCTCGTATGACACATATTACAAATATCCAATAATTTGGTATGTACAAACAAGAACACATATGATTCAGTAGTGTTAGTACAATATTTTTGTATACGGGGCTTTCGCCTGAGATTGTTTTTATCTAAACGCTTTTCGTCTCGGCAAAACTAAACTGCCAATTCCATAATAGTTGTATCCTCCTCTCCTGCGCAGTGTCCGCGAGCGGGACGACAGCAGCTACGCCCTGTGCCTCAGCCACGGCGGTTCTGTGAAGCACTACAAGGTGGACGTGACCCCTAGTGGGGAATTCGCCATCCAGGACGGACAGCGCTTCCCCAGCATTATGTCGGTACGCTAAGCCGATTGTCGAAGTTTTAAAATTGGCTGGCGACGTATATATGACATTGAACGTGCACTAACTGTGCATTTTGTTTATTCTTAGAGCCAGCGTTGTCTTTTTTAAAGACGGTATAGTCTTTCTTGGAGACCCTCGACGCAAAAGTTTTGGTCTGTCTGTCTGTCTGTCTGTCTGTCTGTCTGTCTGTCTGTCTGTCTGTCTGTCTGTCTGTCTGTCTGTCTGTACGTTTGTCTGTTTGTCCACTCTTAACGGCACCGGGTATTTGAAACAGCCGACCTCATCAGCAGCGCCCACCATTGTTGCTCAAGGTTTAGCGTTCATACTTGTGCAATTGTCAATTAAGAACAAATTATTGCACATGTCTGGGACACCGTAACAACACGCATATAGCCCCGCCGCGGTGGTCTAGTGGCTAAGGTACTCGGCTGCTGACCCGCAGGTCGCGGGTTTGATTCCCGGCTGCGGCGGCTGCATTTCCGATGGAGGCGGAAATGTTGTAGGCCCGTGTGCTCAGATTTGGGCGCACGTTAAAGAACGCCAGGTGGTCGAAATTTCCGGAGCCCTCCACTACGACGTCTCTCATAATCATATGGTGGCTTTGGGATGTTAAACCCCACAAATCAATCAATCAACAACACGCATATATTCTGCATGTGCGCGTTTTACTAGAGAAGGCTTACATAAGTAATTTTAAGGACTGTGGCGCTTATCACGCTGCGCTGCCCATGCAACGCTTGCACGAAAAGGCGAGTGTTTCCAACGCTTTGCTCAGACGAGATGGTGGTGGCACCTACCCGTCGTCTTGCCTTCTACACCTTATCAACTCTGAGACGGGCGCGCACACCCGTCTAAGAGCCACGTGCTTCGTACCCCCCCCCCCCCCCATCCAAAAAAAAAAAACTGCCAGATGGCGCTCATGTCTCACGTGTGACGTGCTTGATGCGCTTGTTCACCTCCATTGCACTCTCGAGGCACTCTAACGCAGCGCCTACAGAATACCATTCACCGATTTTCTTGCGCCGAACATCAAATAATTGTTGTATTCACTCTCGGCACACGCAAGACAATCAACTTTCGACGACATCTGGAGATTAACATGCAGATACGGGGCCAATTAGAATATGCGCTAAATTAAAGTGCAGAACAGTCAACAGCAAATTAGCATTTTACTGCAAAGCCAAGCACTTATAGTAACTTTCGTGGTCACTTTTTTATAAACAGGGCAGGGCAAATTATGCATCATTCACTTTTAAGAATAAAAAGCATACTTATAGTTACGGATGTGATAAGTTTATTTACACTGAAAATGCCAGCGCTCAACCGTCACTGCCGAATCCCCATCACTCGAGAGCGTCTTACTTCTTCTTTTTCGCTCTTTCAGTCCGCGTTACATTTTCCTCCGGGCAAGACGAAGCGCACCGAGCGAGTAGAAACGATTGGTTGTTGTAGGGCTTCAATCGGGATATGTGCTCAATTTGCGTCTTACGCGAACGCAAGTTCTGAGCTATCACTTTTACTGCAACGTAAGTGACGTCACTCAAGCACTGAGTAATGACAAATGGTCCTGAGTACTTGGAAATAAGCTTCCGGCAATGTCCCTTCTTTCGAACGGACGTCCACAGCCAGGCAAAATCACCCGTAGCGAAAGTCACAGGCGGGTGTTCTGCGTCGTAACGGTCTTTCGCGCGAGCGTGTGCGGAGAGAGTGCGGAGCCAAGCAAGTCGACGAGCTTCTTCGGCGCGACACAAAGTCTGCGCGACACTGGCGTTTTCGTTCGTCGAAAAAGGAAGTATGGTGTCAAGGAAACTTTGGGTATGACGAGCATACAGGAGAAAGAAAGGCGTATAACTCGGGACCTCGTGTTTCACGGTATTAAAGGTGTAGGTAACAAAAGGCAATACGGCATCCCAGTTCTTGTGATCCGCCGTGACATACATTGAAAGCATGTTGATGATGCTACAATTCGTGCGCTCAGTGAGGCCGTTGGTCTGAGGGTGGTATGGCATAGAATGCCGATACTGGCATTCAAAACGCCGTAGCAACTCTTCGACAACGTCAGCGGTAAACTGCCGGCCGCGATCACTTACCACCACACGAGGGGCCCCGTGACAGACTATAATCGAGTGCAGAAGAAACCATGACACATCAGAAGATGTGGCTGAAGCAACCACCGTCGTTTAAGTATACCATGTCAGGTAATCTACGCACACAATAATCCAGCGGTGGCCGGTGGTAGACTTGGCAAAAGGGCCCAGTAAATATATGCCGACTTTTTTGAATGGTGATGTCGTTGGCTTAACCGGTTGCAGACAGACGGCCAATGGCGTGGCAGGTTGTTTGTAACGTTGGCAGACATCACAACTTGCGAAGTAGTGCTTGGTGGTCTTCCAGAGTCGAAGCCAGTAAAAACGTTGTAGGATAGGGTACAGCGTTCGGGCAAATCCAAGGTGCCCAGACGTGATGCCATCGTGCATGGCTTGGAATACCAGAAGACGCCGGCATTCTGGCACGAGAAGAAGTAGTGTGGAACCATGGCTGGAGTAATTCTTGTGATATAGTAGGGCGTCATGAATCACTAATGTCGTGGCGCGTTTTGAGCTACGAGCCACATCGATCATTGGTTTCAGTGAAGGGTCACGCTGTTGCTCGCGACGGAAGACGTCCAAGTTCGGGAAGTTGTATGAGATTGCAGCCAGGTAGTTGTCGAAATCATCATCATCAGCATCCACAGTCGAAGATGGAAGACGAGATAAGCAGTCGGCATCTGCGTGACATCGACCGCTCTTGTAGGTCACAGAATAATTATATTCTTGAAGCCGTAAGGCCCAGCGAGCCAACCGACCAGCTGGGTCACGTAGTCCGACAAGCCAACAAAGCGAATGATGATCTGTGACGATCTTGAATAGCCGGCCGTACAAATAAGGTATGAACTTTTGAATGGCGAAAACAACCGCAAGACATTCAAGTTCGGTGACCGTATAATTCCTCTCCGCCTTAGTCAAAGTACGACTGGCGTACGCCATGACGTGCTGGCGGCTGTCGTGATACTGAACTAGCACGGCACCAACACCGATACCACTAGATCTGTTTGCAGTTCCGTGAGTGCCTCCGGGTCGAAATGGCGCAGGTGGGGCCCGGAAGTAAGCAAATACTTCAGCTGCTCGAAAGCAGTCTCACACTCAAAGGACCATCGGAATTGGGCGTTTTTGTGAAGCAACTCTGTCAGAGGATGAGCAAGCTGAGCGAAGTCTCTGATGAACCGGCGAAAGTAAGAACACAGGCCCACGAAGCTACGGAGATCCTTCACAGACGTTGGTTGCTTGAAGTCTCGGACAGCATTGATCTTTTGCGAGTCTGCCTGTATACCATCCCTGTCGACTAGATATCTGAGCACAAGGGGTTGAAGCTCACCAAAATGACACTTCTTTGCATTTAAAATGAGACAAGCTTGTTTGACGCATCATAGAACAACGCTAAGCCGATGGTAGTGTTCGCGTAATGTCTCGCCAAAAATAATTACACCGTCGAGATAACTCATACATATCTATGATTTGAGACCGCGAAGAATGGAGTCCACGAATCGCTCGAAGGTAGCTGGGGCATTACATAAGCCAAACGGCATAACGTTAAACTGAATAACCCATCAGGCGTGACAAAATCAGTCTTCTCTCTGTCAGACGGATGCATTGGTATCTGCCAGTATCCAGACCTTAGGTCGACGGACGAAAAGTATGCGGCCGAGTGCAGGCAATCAACAGCATCATCGATGAGTGGTAGCGGATACACGTCTTTTTTTGTGACGGCGTTGAGACGGCGGTAGTCTACACAAAATTGCCAAGAGTTGTGTTTCTTTTTTACCAATATAACAGGAGCTGCCCAGGGACTGCTTGACTCTTGAATAACGCCTTTCTGTGGCATGTCGTTGATCTGATCGGCGATCACTTTTCTCTATGACGAGGATACGCGATAGGGTTTCTGGCGTATCGGTGTAGCATCTCCCGTGTTTATGCGGTGGTGCATACGGAATTTGGTCCACAGGGAACAACGTTTGTCTTGAGCGAAATCAAAGACTTCCGAATAGCGCATAAGCACCTCCTCGAGGACATCCTGCTCTGGAGAACGCAACGACTTATTGATCATGCGTTTCATCTCGGCCGAGTAGTTGGGCGCTGATTGATTTGTGGGGTTTAACATCCCAAAACCAGCATATGATTATGAGAGACGCCGTAGTGGAGGGCTCCGAAAATTTTGACCGCCTGGGGTTCTTTAACGTGCACTCAAATCTGAGTACACCTGCCTACAACATTTCCGCCTCCATCGGAAATGCAGCCGCCGCAGCCGGGATTCCATCCCGCGCGCGACCTGTGGGTCAGCCGCCCAGTACCTTAGCCACTAGACCACCGCGGTGGGGCGAGTAGTTGGGCGCAGTCTGACTGATGGCTGGAGACTGTGAGACCATTCTGTTAACTTTGGCCTGCTCCTCAAACGTTCCTAGTTTAAATCCAGCTGGTAGGACAACAGGCTCTGAAGCTGCGTTGAGCGCCCACAAACAAGCATGTCCGTCGATGGCTGTAAGGACAGACCATGGGACCAGCACACTCTTCTTGATGTCGTTTGTATGATCAGGCTCGACAAGTGCAGTGCAGGGTCCTGAGCCGACGTGAGAAGAGCATACGGGAACTAGCATTGCAGTCCGACCAGGGATCGTCACATCTTCAGACAACGAAAGCGCATCGATGGGGAGAGTTAGAAAATCGTCAAAAATGGCAGCGGGCAACGTACTTTGTAGAAGAATCTCTCCAGTTCCACAGTAAAGCGTAGCGCTGCATTCATGAAAGAGATCTATCCCTAAAAGGACGTCATGAGTTGCGCGAGCCAGTACAGTGAATTTAACTCCGAAATTTTTGTCCACCAATCGTGAGTACAACTAAGCAAATACCAACAGGGCATAACACTTCACCTCAACTACACGAAAAGTATCTTTACGATCC